AAAGTGAAATCAGCACCATAAAAGCGTATGACACTCCGCTAAAAGAGTACAAAGAAGAAAGCAGAGAGAAAGAGAGAAAGAAAGGAAGAGGGGGAGAGAGGAAGAAAGAGAGAGAGGAAGAAAGAGAGAGAGAGGGAGAGGAAGAAAGAAAGAGAGAGGGAGAGAAAGAGGGGGAGAGAGAAAAAGAGAGGGAGAGGAAGGAAGAAAGGGGGAGAGAGAAAAAGGTGGAGAGAGAAAAAGAGAAAGAGAGGAAGGAAGAAAGAAAGAGAGGAAGGAAGAAAGGGAGAAAGAGAAAAAGAGAGAAAGAAAGAGAGAGGGAGAGGAAGAAAGAAAGAGAGAGGGAGAGGAAGAAAGAAAGAGAGGGAGAGAAAGAGGCGGAGAGAGAAAAAGAGAAAGAGAGGACGGAAGAAAGGAAGAGAGGAAGGAAGAAAGGGGGAGAGAGAAAAAGGTGGAGAGAGAAAAAGAGAAAGAGAGGAAGGAAGAAAGAAAGAGAGGAAGGAAGAAAGGAAGAGAGGAAGGAAGAAAGGGAGAAAGAGAAAAAGAGAGAAAGAAAGAGAGAGGGAGAGGAAGAAAGAAAGAGAGGGAGAGAAAGAGGTGGAGAGAGAAAAAGAGAAAGAGAGGAAGGAAGAAAGGGGGAGAGAGAAAAAGGTGGAGAGAGAAAAAGAGAAAGAGAGGAAGGAAGAAAGAAAGAGAGGAAGGAAGAAAGGAAGAGAGGAAGGAAGAGAGGGAGAAAGAGAAAAAGAGAGAAAGAAAGAGAGAGGGAGAGGAAGAAAGAAAGAGAGGGAGAGAAAGAGGTGGAGAGAGAAAAAGAGAAAGAGAGGAAGGAAGAAAGGGGGAGAGAGAAAAAGAGAAAGAGAGGAAGGAAGAAAGAAAGAGAGGAAGGAAGAAAGGAAAAAAGAGAGAGGGAGAGAAAGAAAGAAAGAGGAAGGACCTAAATCCGGAGTCTACGACAAAAAACTTGGATGCTAATAATGAACCGAAGTTGGGTCCACGCAACCGAGGACTCGTCTCGGTGCTTCTCGCGTCGCCCCCCGAAGAAAATCTGAAGCAGCGTAGTTGATAATTAAACCGATGCAACCGAATTAGAGCACTCCATTGCGAGGACGAGACTGACAATGAGCCGTCGGAAAACAAAGGAGGGTAAAGTGAAACGAGACTCGCCCGTTGTCAAAGCGGGGGGCGAGACCGGTCTCGAGAGGGCGACGGAAAGCCCACGAAAGTTGATTTGACAACGACGTCATCCACCGGAGAGTGTTTAAAAATAAACACGGCGCAACAGTGAAGCGGATTAAGGGCTGATGAGGGGTGGCCCCAGAAGGGTTTATCTGTTTTAATGTAAGCTGTTTATCCTTAATTAACATTGCATTGTGCGATGGAGAACCGTTCTTGTCGGCTTGGAACAAGGGTAAGGTGCTCGAAGGATGCGATTCTTGACTTTGGTTTCCCATTCGGGCCCGGATTCGCTACTCGGCTACTTAGGCTATAGCCTGGGGGCGCAACATTCTGAGGGGCGCAATATTTTAGGCTTGTCCATAGTTGCCGTGATAGCGAAGAGAGCAGTGAATGCATGCTGCAGGGATGAACCTCGAGGCACATAAAAGCGTGAATAACCATGGCTCATACAGAAATGTAATTACTGCTCTCTTCGCTAACACGGCAGATAGATGCGCCTATCTACACGGGGGATCTGATGGTACAGATGTCGTTTCTGAAATGTGCCAGTAGAGTTCCCATAATATCTCCATTTCCCGATTACCTGACTTCTTGCTTTTCCCTGATTTCAAAATACTCGGATTCCCTTATTTCCCTCAGCTGTTAGACAAAAAATCCATTCAACTTTATTTTGCCTTTAATTACCTACGCTGACTCTGCTAAACGCTGCTCGGAAAATTCCCTCACTTTTCCAAGTCCCTGTGAATCCCCTGACTTTCCAGGTGCTCCAGGCCGCCAGACACCGTAGAATAAGTATTCTATTGCAAACTATAGTCAATTTTTGCGAAAAACGAGGGATTCGTTCGAAAAATTTCTCCTCCTCTAAAACCGTTCCCAATTTTCTCAAAACGTTTGTTGTCCGACTGCTCCCTTTGATAACCTGAACTCGTAATTTGCCAGACTAATAATAAAATCTGAGCTTTCGCAAATGTGCGATTGGGCACTCGAGACCAAAAAGGCAATGCTGTAGCGGGAGCGCTTTAATTTTCATGGCTCGACTTTTACGAGTACGGATACTTTATTCTCTCATTGTTTGGGAGCTTGTTACCACGGTAGCTCATCTCAACGCTCATTTACATGAGTAACTATTTACTGTTCCGTCGGCGAGCGTATATCTTACGAGCCCCCCCCCCCCCCCCNNNNTTCCACCACCCTCGCTTTAGCTTAGCGCTGACGAAATGTAGCAAATTACAGCAGTTCGGAAATGGTTGGACTCAGACCAGAATCAGTCTAACTACGTTAGACGTTGTCTAATTTCCTCTTTGGTTTCAACAAAAAACTAAGCAACATGCACTGGAAAAAAACACATTGGATCTAGATTCCAGACTCTTAAAAACATCGACAAGAAAAAACACTCTTGATTCAATCAGATTTAAGCTTAAATCAAGAACCAAGCCTCTTAATTTGAGCGGATTTCCTTTTGATTTAAGCTTACATCTGATTGAATCAAGAGTCCTTTTTTTGGTCAATGTTTTCAAGAGTCTGGACACTAGATCCAATGTGTATTTTTTACCAGTGTGTGATATGAATTTTTGTGAGCGTATTCCTTGCACCTAGTCAACGGGAAATTCACAAAGAGTTTCAAGTTGTTAAGCTGTTTAGTTCTACATTTAAGAAAAAAAGAAAAAAAAACAAATGATGCCTGGGCAAATGCTGATCACAGTTAATAATATTGCAATAGATAACTACTAATCCTGCCTTATTCATAACAGCACATGTCTGCATAGGAAAACAAATAGCTCATACGTCATTCCTAAAATGGGCTAAGGATGGAAGTTGCTGGTGCAAAATGTAGTCAAATTATCGTTTTGTGCCAAAATGGTCCGAAGTATTCTCGAGGCGAGCTTTTGGATCAGCAAATGTCAAGTGTGACAATCAAAGTTTTTTCTGCTTAGGCAAACAGTATCATAGATGAGGGGTTTTAAGCTAGCATTGGAACTAGGGTTACACGTTTTGTTGCGAGTTTTCCTCAAAAGCCTCTCTTCTGAGCTTCAAGTGGAATAACATATTCCCCAGTTTGAGTGTTCCCGATTACATAACACAGTCTTAATTTGCTGTCAATGCCGACATAACGGATCTAATTTCAAACCCTACGAGAATAGCAGCCATCGCCAGTCAGTTTAAGATCGAGGTCACCTTACTGAGCCATAGAAATCAGCAAATAACGGGCAGACACTCATGCGCATTTCTTCAAAACGATTGGAGACTTTATCTATCCAACGACACGATCTAAAAATAGAGATAAACCCAGGATAGACAACACCCCAAAGAATATTCGTCAGCGAGTGATTTTGCATTGGAGACGCGACTTCCACACTACGAGGAACCATTAATATTGGAGGATTCCATGGACTAAGAGAAAAAAAATGAGTAAGGTGGGAAAGGGCGCCTCGGAGTACGAAATTTGACGGGGAAAATAATCGTATCAGTGCAATGACAAGACGGAAAAAACAATGTTCTTCACAAGCGATCCGACGGGATCAACAAAAATAATGACGTTTCGCAAATAAATGAGTTAAGGTAAATAACTTCTGCGCAGTCGTGGAGCTCCCCGCTGTAGCGTCTGATGTCACAATCGACACACAAATTACGCACTGGAAGAACCACGAACGCTCGCAACTCTAAGCCGGCATTTTATGAACTATCCGAGAGTGGCGTCAGTTCTGGTTATTCGTATTTGATTAGTAACGAGCTTCCGTTCACAAATTAAGCTATACGAAAATTAGAAACACTATAGCTCAACCAATGAAATGTAATTTTCAACACATTTGAATTTGAGCCTATTAATCGCATGAAAATAATACTTAGGAATTAGAATGAAAACTTCCAGATTCTTCATCGGTGAGTATTCATTTTGATCATGATGAACAAGGTCGATTCCATGGGCGTGGCCAAAAATTCAACAAGATCGATTCACGAAATTTCTAGTCGAGGTACTCCCTGCTAATTTTACACGGGAATTTCGATTGCGATCTATCTGAAAAGGATACAAAGGAAAATAATACACGGAACGTAACTAGTAGCTGACCTACAGGTTTATTCTCTTGCTGAATGAGGTTAAAGAGGCTACGCTGACCTGCAGCCGAGAAAGAGCAAAGTTAATCGGGGGAAAATTGGAATTTATCGTGTCTAAAACACACATCACGTAAAGGTACCGGTACTCATTTCCGCGTAGTTGCTTCCGAGATGTTTGAGCTTTCTTTGTGCGGTTCTCCGACACTATTATCAAAGTTACCGGGTGTAAGTTTACTTTTACTTTAAAGTCGACGCTCTTGCGCGTTTGGAGGAGCCGGCCCACTGCTTTACGCGAGGCCGACGTTGCTATAAAATTTAGAAATTGAAATTCCCCGATTTCCCAGACACATTTTGGTACAATTCCCCGACATCTGACAAAATGCCTGATGGCTAAAAATACATAATTTGAAATGGTTTACAGGCAAAATTTGTTGTTTAAAACGTCACAGCCATTCTGGAAAGCAAATAGAAGTGACTCGACGATTTCGTCTTTTCCCGGTTTAACCTCACTATTTAGAATTCCCTGAGATTCCTCGGTATTCCCTGACTGTGGCAGCCCTCGACCTTTGCATCGAGCTAACGTGGCGGTCGATTTCTTCTGGGAGCCTATTTCTGACAAGCAGAATGCACTCCCTCAGCGGGGTAGTAAAAGACAGGAGTCGAGGGTGAAAAATGGAAGCATTGCAAGGAAGGAGCTACGAGGAGGAATGCATCGGGGGCCTTGGAGTCGACCTTGCCGAAAAAATAGAACGTAAAACGATGACGCGACTCACCTCATGACCTTGCGGCTGAACGGAGATGGTGACTTCGTCGATCTGCGGCTTGTGCTCGACCACCTCGCCGCAGATCTCACGGCCATTGAAGGTCAGGAAGACTTTCTGACCGGGGACCAAGTGGAAGTTGGAGATGCTCTGGAAGCCGGGTCCGATGAGTTCCACGTCCCGATACTCGCGGCGACACACGGTACCGGTCTTCCTATCGGCGTCGAAACGCACCGAGTAGCGGGTCTCGGCGTTGGACCCGCTCACGTCACCCAGGACGGAGACGGCCGGCGTCTTGACGGCGTGGATGACGCCCGCGTAGAACTTCCCGTCCTCGCCCGGGGCGCAAACCCGGGTCCCGATGATGGAGCGCTTGGCCAACCTCTTACCGGTCGACATCTCGAGAATTCACAAACAAACAAAAAACACTTGAGAACAGAACAGAAAAGGCGCTCTTCCGGGGCACCGAACAACACACAAAGAGAGGAAATCACAGTTCGCTTGGACGCGGCGGCGGAGACGGGATCGCCCGAAGTTTATGAGAACACATACACGTCCGTCAGATGTCGTTCTTTTAGGAGGATGCCTTCGACCACAATGTCACAATTCATGAGATCGCCCGAACACACACACCCGAACTCTTTGCCTTTCTGGGCCGGCGGACAATGCATGTTTCGACGTCGAGGGGATTCCGAAACTCGCGAGCGTCCGTGACTCGTCGAGTGTTCAAAATTCGAGAAATCCAAAGATCACAACACTGAGACACAACACTGTCGATAGATAGCGCGAGAGAGCACTGAGTCTGAGGAGCGAACGGCGGAAAAACCCAAGGAATTTCCGTTTTTCCGCGAGGGAGCTGACTGCGGAGCAACGCGATGAGAACACCGGGGGTAAATCGAGATGCGAAACGCGCGGAGCACGACCGTACGGATCAGCTGTTTGGAAGCTACTACGCAACACGGGCCGGCCGGGTTCCTTCTGCGCGTCGCCAGCTGATAGATAACAACAAAGCCACGTGACGCCGGGCGGGGCGCTCATTGGCGCCGGCGAAGTAGGTCAGACCTCCTTCGCCGCCATTGGTCGTCCAGCGGCCCTGGGAGCGCTTCCCCTCTCGCCGTGACGGTAGCGGCGTTCGGCGTTCGCGCCAAACAGGTTCCGTTTGTTTCCGTCCTGGATATTCCTATGCCCCGTGCCGTGCGCCGGGCTCTGTTTCGCTGCTTCCCCTCCGCGTCCCGCGCCGCACAACGGGCCGGCCTATACTGGAAGGCGAATTTCCGCGAGTGCAGTCGGCAGATACCAGAGACAAAGAAAGACCCTCTAGTACTGTCCTGTGGTGGAGGTTTTTACTTTCGAGACTCCAATGTTCAATTCTACCGTGCTGAGGAAAAACGCCGTATGAACATTCGTGAGTTGCCAAATTTCCTTTGATAAAATGTCCATTCTTGAGAAAATTTATGAGTATTTTTCCTTGAAATTTTCGGGAACTTTAGGTGAGATTGCGAGCAAAATTATCTGAAAAGTTGAAAAGAAAGAATTCACAAGTAATTCGTGTTTTATCGAAGGAAATTTGGCAACGCCTGGAGGTTCATACGGCGTTCTTCCTCAGCATAGCATAATTGTTGACGAACCTACTAAGTGGATGCGAACAAGGATATTAGTCCGTAATTTCTAAAAATGTGAACCGCATTGAGGAGAAAGGTGGCAAGCCGCATCAGCTATTGCCAAAGCTAATTAGGTAATCTAATGTTTCAAATGAAAACAGTTGTGGAAATTCTTATGCGAATTTCAGAGGATTTTCTGTATAGAACGAAGCAAATTCCTTAAAATTTTCAAAGGAATCCGCACGAACGTTCTCTTGTAAAAAATTAATTACTCGGTTAAATTTGGCAATAGCTGATGTGGCTTGGTTCCATTCTGCTAAACGCGGTCCATATACCTATAGTCCTATAGTGCCATCGTAGTTCATCTGTCGTTTCTCAGACGAAAGAAAGCAACTCCATTTCAGTGTTGCAAAATTTCCAGTCGTAAATTGCAATTATACCGAGATACCGTCCGGTATTTCTAACTGAAAAGTTTACTGATTTTTTGTTTTACAATCCGCTAAAATCAGCAAACTCTCGGACGGAAATTTCACGATTAATGAAGCTCTTGCATGCTTGAGGGATTTGCGATTTTAGTACTTTCACTTTCACGAGAAACACGATGTTGCCACTTCTATTCTCTGAAATCAACTCCAAAGCTCAAAATTGAGGCCGGAAGAGAGGGGACATCCGCACGCTTTCCTAAGAGTCCACCTATCAAGACAAACTCTCTAGTCGAGGATAGGGAGTAAATACAGTAGCAGGGTTGCCGTGTTTTCAGTTTTGGAGTCCCCAATCAGGTGGCGACCCTGTTAATGTATTTGCTCCCTATCTTTGCATATAGTGTTTATCTTGATATACAGGGGGACTCTCAGGGTAGCGTAGTATACCCTCTCCATTACAGCCTCAACTGTGAGAGCTTTGTTTTGAGCTTAGGAGTTGATTTTAGAAAAAATCGGTAGCACTGTGTTTCTCGCGAAATTTTTCACAGGATTCAGTACTTAAATCGCAAATTCGTGACATATGTAAGAGCTCCATTCGTATGAAAAATTGAATTGTTCGAGTCAATTTGGCAACCTTGGAATGGAGTTACGTTCCTTTGTCTAAATGAAACGACCATCCCTCGCGATGGGCATCTTAATCGTCTCACTCACAATTAAAACTGCTCTTTGCGGCGACGACATACAACTGACAAAAATGACGGATGACAGAAAAATCAAATTTGGATAAGCTTGCTCATTATGCGAGTTTTCCTCGATTTTTCCACCATTTAGAGGGAAACTTGAGACTGCTTGTATTGGCCTTCAATATTCTTATCAGTCTCTCGTTGTGGCTAAGGTTTCCATTTTTGCATACGCACTGCCAAGGTTGGACGTAAGTGTACTGATAAAAATTAAACACATGCATTATTTGGAGAATGCAAATTCAAAGCAGCTCACACAGTTGAAAAGACGCGGAGTTGATTTCAATACGTTTAGTTGCGTGAATCGTGTTCCGCAATGAATTCTAGTTAAGAAACATGTGTCAGAATCCACAAATACGATACGAGAAAGTTAAAACGGGTTAATGATGGAATGAGTAAAGCTGGATGGAAAACAATGTAAAGTCCACGATCCCTTTGCCTTTTACCCGAAGAACCACCCGGAGCGCGGGATTTAAAATGTTTTCCAATTTACTTTTCACATCCACAGGGATGGTTTTTTTACGACTACTCTATTTCCAACTTAAGCTTCCAAGTAAATCCAACCATACTCTAAATGCCTACACAAATGCTACCAGAACTACCAAAGGAGTCCGAAAATTATCGCCTCTTCCCGCAATCGTGTTAATTATACATTTACATCAAATGCGAGGCTTGGAGGACAAGGTGCATAAGTGCTGTTTTTGAAAAAAATGAGATATTCATGAACTCAACTAAAACCAGTTTGAAAGTATATTCTGTGAAAAAGTCAGGACTAAAATTCAACCTTAAAGCATCAACAAGCGAGTTTATACTCCCTTTCTACCATAAGGTTTCATGTAATTTTGGAACTTAATTCTTGAAATAGCGAGAACTGCATTTATGCGCCTTGTCCTCCAAGCCCTTCAAATGAATATCAACTTCATGTACCGAAAGGGCCTATGTGCAGCGACAAAGGTTACTCAATCAACAGACAGCTGTTATGAATTTACTCATCACTCGTGGAATGAAGTAATAAAGATTATGGCCACATACCTTGTGACAGGAGTCTTGAAGGGCCAATCGGTGTATTTTCAATTTTTCACCGAGCTTTGGTGAGTGTGTAAAACGAAGGTATAAACGCAAGCGGGAGAAGTGAGAACGAGTACGCTGCGGTAAGAGCATTGGTATCAGCGCGGATTGAAGGCAACTCTCCCTTGCATTGAATTATCAACGACGAAGCCTCGTTCGGGTCCCAACAGACCGCGCTGTCGAATTCAAGATTCTTTACGAGTATAATTTCCATCATCGTCTTTCGAGGGAGTAGAATACTGTGAAACTAGAATAGCCTCCAAATGAAGACAGGGTTTTCCGGTGTTTTAATCCCTTCAAACTCATGGCGATGGGGAGGCTGGTGTGCGACATTTGCGTGATTCGTAGGATTCTGGGATTGTAACGACAGTGAGGCATACGGACCCGACACATCCTAGAAGTACTGTATTGGAGATCAGATCAGTCCTATACCTAATTACCACTTGTGGTCGTCCACTCAGTCAATCAGTTGACACAGTTTATGACGTTCGAAAGAATTGCGTTCATACGGCCGTAAGGTCTCAAATGGGGCCCAGCTCAATACTGCGTCCCAGTAGCCTCTGACTTACGTCATGCTTACTTTCTCTTAGAAGAAATGTCTGGATGACATGAATCTCCATGTATTTGGACTGAACTCACGATCTCCCAACATCAATTAAGAGAATACGAACTTACCATGAGATTTGAGAAGGGACTGTCTACCGGTTATAGCTATGGCCCTAATTATGAAAGCGAATTTTCAAGAGTGGACTTGATCGACTTTTAGAACCAGGCTAGCAGGGTTGCAAACCGTGGAAGGAAAACTCTGTGCGAAAGTTAAGAGCTAAATTCAGTTGCTTGATGAATTCTGACCACAGTTTGCATCCATCCACTTTTGAGGTGGGTCGAGAATTTTGGATGTGGTCGTCATTGTTGCCAGAATGAAAACCAAATTTTGTAGGCGCTTAGTCGCCTGGAGGGAATTGGTTTTTTTAAACGGAGGTTGGCAGTAAGTTGAAAACTTTAACCAAATCCACTCTCGAAAATTCGACTTTCTGCCGGAAATGCCTAACCGATCAAATCATCTGATCTATCATTCGTCCCATAACTTGTAGATTCTTTCCATGTTATTCGATCCGCCGATAAACTTTTTTTAAGCTTTCAATGTCGAACTCTTAATGATTATAACTGGAATATAGGTACCTAGTGGATTTAGGTGTCCCTATCCTTGCATGATACTTTATATGCCCTTTAATGATTTTTACAGAATTCTAAAGATATTTATAGAATTATTAAAAAGAGTCATGTAAAACTTTTATAAAGGCATATACATATGTGTCACCGAAACACATATCTCCTTAATAAATACGTTTTCTAGATGTTATGATCATTGCTCCGTTTAAAAAAAAAAAAAAAAAAAATCTCCTGAACATGTTGTTGTCCTCATTTTAAAACTATGTGAAGTGGGCGCATACAGATACGCGTTACACTCGTTCTCGTTACAGCTCAGCGGGCGCTCTCCATCCACCAGGTAGCGCTACCAGTCTCTTCCGTCCGTCAAACGTGGCTCTAGTGTGTCAAACTCCGGCGCGACCACTTTTTAATCAAAATGATTGTTTCACGATTTAAATGGGAAACTTGTCATTCGGCCGACATTCTCTTACTTAGCTCAATATCTCGCAGTAGATTATCTGCAGGAAATCTTTATATTATGCGGGGATAGGACATAGCGCAGAGGCAACTACACAAGGAACAAGAGTACTGACAATCTGCTTCAGCGAGTTACGTTATAAGCAAGAGCAATTTACTCTTCCTTCGTACTCGCTTCGGCGGTACATATACTAAAATTGGAACGATACAGAGAAGATTAGCATGGCCCCTGCGCAAGGATGACACGCAAAATCGTGAAGCGTTCTACATTTTTTGGCGATCCAATCTCGCCGTCGTATGCATGTTGAATAAGATAGCTGCTTTCGAAGCTCCTTGTAAATATTGCTTCCTGTAATTTTAGAACAAATTGTGGGAATATCGATGACTCATATGTCTGCACTTCTGCTATTTTATTCATGTTTTGGTAGCATGTCGACAATATGAACGTCTTCCTTCAATACAGCAGTCCCAATACGGAGGTTGGCATATGCATGCAACGATTCAGAAACTCAGACCATGCTTAATTTTTTTCGGTGGAAAAAGAAAAATAAGATAGAACAGAGAAAAATATCGCGTCGAAATTTTCTGGGATTTTTTTAAAATCATTACAGAAAATCTTTTGAAAAACTCAAAAAACGTCCAATAAAAATAAAACATAAAATGAGGTGAGTAACTTTGCAACCAGAGGTAAATACAATTTTTTTTCTCGTGCAGCTGTCGATATTTGGATTCATTCACATAATGAGATAACTTTTCGTCAACAAGTTGAGGGATATTGCGGCTATCCGGATTTAAAGCGCATCACACTGAGAGAATGACTCAACCGTGTTCCTTCACCTACCTGCCGCAACGCTAACATCGCCGCAAAACCAGTAATGTGCGTCAATATTCTCGACTCCCTGCCCCGTTTTTACTATAATTCAAGGAGATACTCATTAATTATCTACATTCGCAATGACTCAGAAACTCAGACGATGTTTGGTTTTCCCGGATGTTGAAAAAAAGGATGAAAATGGCATAAACGGAAATATCACATCGAAACTTTATAAAATTGCATATCATTCTAGGAAATTCTCGGAGACTCTTCAGAAAAACTGCGCGTGTATAGCTTTTTAAAAGGCATTCAATAAAATTAAAACATAAAAAGTGAAGAGTAACGTTGCAATCGGAGATAAAGACGCTTTCATTCGCGCGCAGCAGTCGTGTTTTTAATTCATTCACAGCAGGCGTAACGAGGTAACTATTCGACCACGGCTGTAGGCATATTGCAGTCAGCCGGATTGAAGGCGCGTCAAACTGCGAAAAGGTCTCGACCTCGTTCCTTCACCTGCGTGCGACGTGGCTGGCGCGAAGCTAACACCGCGCACCGCCGCAAAACTTAGACTGCGCATCATTATTCATGACTCTCTGCCCGGTTTTTACAATAATTAAAGGGAAAATCAACATTTTAGTTGCAGCCGCTTATGTATAACATTTTCTACCATTTTCTAACATACCATATCATCTTCATGCAAAGGGTTCATGTTCGAAGACACAAGTTACTTTACATGGTTTGCGATACGTTACTTGTTAATATGCTCATCATTTGTGGAATGGTACTGAAGATTCTGGCTACACGCCGATTGACAACACGCGACATGCAATCCTGAAACAGAGAAAATAAAATTCTAAGATGAAAGAGTTTTTTTTTTTTTTTTTTTTTTTTTTTTTAAAAAAAAAAAAAAACCAAATCAAAAGGCATAAATGCATTGCTACTAGTGGTACGCCACAGATAAACGAAGGATGATCCAAAAGCCCCCTCCATCCACTCTAATTTTTTATCTGATTGAGATGAAGTTTCGAAACTTTGGAGGACAGGGCTGAATTTAGGGGGTGGTCTCATGAGCCGTGGTCCATGGCGGCAAATTTAGGGGGCGGCAGATGTTGTAATTTTTTCAAATGTAGGTATCAAGAAAAAAAAAAATCTGATTCAGAAAAAAAATTACAAACGAGAAAAGACGAGAAAATCTCTCATTTCCTGAGAGTTAAAGTACAGTAATTTCTAATTCGTTCATCTTTCGGTGATACAAGAGACAGCACCTTTCAATTGTCTAGTTGAGAGAGAAACCAAACACGCAATTTGGCCTGGAGCGGCGCGGCGCAGAGAGCAATGATGACGAGGACTTGAGATGGAAAAGAGAAGCCTTCGGCGCGCCGGTCAGCATGAAACATATTAGCGCCTACAAGACTCCATGAAAACTTCACGCATTGCGTCAAACGTAGTGCGGTCAGCAGCGGTTGGCGTGAAACTCATAGCGCCTACAAGACTGCATGAATACTTCACGCATTGCGTCAAACACAGTGCGGTCAGCAGCGAGCCCATCGCCATCGTGCCTGATATTAGGTGTGCGACTTTTCGTGCCAAAGAGGTGTTATTCTGGTTTAACCGAAGAATACCTAAAAGGCTCTCTGTCTTCTTCGATCCTCATGAGTTACGCGTGACACCTTTGATGTCATTGATCAATGTCAATTCTTATAACTTCCATGATTTTATACTTTAATAAGCGAGCCAAAGACGTCGCAAAATTCAGCTCGGGAATTTAGCATTTTAGACGTCGACGAATGAAAATAAACCGACAAGTGTTGTGAGGCCTCTTGATGTGAGCTATCTTGCCAAAATAAGTCAAAAAATTTTTTCGCTGGCAAACTGACAACTATGAATTTATTTTATAAACAAACCTTGGTTTTGAGGTTATGTATGGTTATGAACGGAATGGTACGGATTGAGTAGATGAATTCAGTCTTCGTGTCTGCATCAGTGTATTTCATTTGCATTTTTTAGGTTTCTGTATTCCTCTCTCTCCCACCATGTCAGTTTTTTATCATGTGCACGTTCTACAAGCTTATTATTGATTGTCATGTTGCAATTATTTACCCAGTCGTGAGTGATTTGGCATGTTAAGTTTGAGCATCTAATTTTCTTTTAATGTTAAAACAGTGCTCTTTAAAATGTACCAATATACTCACCATTTCGATCTTGCTCGACTTTGAGCTTCTCTGTTTTTGAACCAGCTGTGATTAAACTTGCATTGTACTCAAAGTTTCAAATAAAAGAAAAATGAGTTTTCCTGGAGGCTCCAAAGTGATTTCCGTTGGATTATTCTGCTCTATGTTGGGTATCTTAATAGCTCTGTTTTTAAGCTATCCAAACGATGTATTGGTGAAAAGAATGAACAAAGTCTTAAATGGTCTTCTTGAAGCAGAGAAATTTGAAAGACTCGCCCCTCCAAAAGTTGCTGTAGGATATGGCGCATGCCTTGACTTAGTAGTCGATGCTCAACAACTTTTGCCCACAGTGGATGATATTGATGCACGAGAGAATTTTGACTACATCAGCTCTATGGAAGAGCTATACCAGTCTTATTCCTATTATTTTCAGCATGGCACCGCTGCAGAGTAAGTCTGAATGTAAATTTTTAAGCTTTACTTTTTTCTATAGCCCTAAAACAATCTGTGAGAGACATGAATTCCCGCGAGTATTTCTCATTTTGACGACTAGAACTGAAGGAAAGCAAGAACGAAGAAATGTCACATCATCCTGAATGTATCAATCATCAGTTGGTTGGCTTAACAGTGACCACATAAATTTATGTAGAATTGTGCTGTTTTCTAATGTGACTTTAATCAATATCACCCACCATTTAATCCATTCTCTCTTCTCCCAGTTTGCGGTAGGTGTGCCTTTACATGTAAAATGACTGGCATTGTGCTTTTTTTGCAAAAAAAATTTTAGACGCGAGCATTTAAATTGATTTTTAGCCTTTATTAACTTCCTATCAACTAAACCTTAAAATTACTGCCCGCGTGCTCTTTTATGTCTGAATTGTCTTTCTTATCCATCTCAGCCTATTTATTATCTACTTAACAAGTAGCATATTCCTTACCAAGACTCTTTTGGCAAATAAAATTACAAGTCTTCCGGAATGAATTATTGTTTTTGTTCAAGTGCGCTCAGATAAAATCATTCAGGCATTAATTCTTTGGGTGAAAGATCTCATCAGTGATCATTTATTATCATGGTTGCATGCACAATTTCTCATGTGATGGCATTGCTTTAGATATTCTGTGCAAAATTCATAATAACTCATTCAGACGCATCAAGTTAATTTAACTAATTTTTATCCACTCACAGACGGTATATCTCAAACACAACCTTATTCAATGAGCTCATCACGAAAGCGGCCAGTTTACCCTCATCACGTTACTCTGTCGGTGGTAATGCTCCTGTTATGGCTACCAGATTTGCTTTAGAAGGATGTTCTGTGATGTTGTCTACACTTGCAACTCCTTCACTGAGAGAGAAACTTCTACCAGATCTGCAAAGTAAGCTAACTTTCTCATTGTGTTCTACTATAGTGATTCATGGTTTAGAATGAATTAACACGTCCTCTCAAGCAAGGATCCCAAAGTGCTGTGCATCATATTTTGTTGGCCTCCTGTAGTGTAGTGATTTTAGCGCTTGCTCTACGATTGGGAGGTTCCGGGTTCGATTCCCGGCCAGGTGACCCGAGTTTGATGGTCTCAAGGAACGGTTGTCTGGGGCTGGCTTGATTATGGACAGAGGGGAGGAGGGGGACTTTGGGGACTTTAAGGAGCAAAATTATCCCTTGTGGGATGTTTGCAGTAAAAAAAAAAAAAAAAAAAAAAAAAAAAAAAAAAAAAAAATATTTCCTATATTGTGAAGTCAATTGCTTCAGTGCATGAGAAAGGCATACTACCTAGTACCAGTTTATAATAGATGGGCTTTGATCGCAGGTTACTCCAAATTAATCCTCTATTTTTAACGGGAATTTTTCAAATTGTATTTTCATAGTGAGGGTGTACCTATCTAAATGGTGATTTTACTGTAAAGCATCATACTTCGTTCCCCAATTTACATACATCTGTTTCAGTAACATTAATAGTTTTAATGTTTGTTGTGATGTCTCTGTCCTGTACCATTAATAGTTGTTGGAGGGGAGACATCTCACGATGATATCCATCTTATCCTGGAATACAAAGCAGATGAAGAATGGGGCCATCTAAAAGCTCCGCGAGCGAACAGGTATTTTTTCTTTTTTCAGGTGCTTTTTACTGTACATAGTATTGAAATACTTGTCGCAATTGTGGCAAATGCAACATTATTAGTTAACTTCTCTTTTCAAAATATTGAATCGATAATATTACTTTTTGAGTAGGTACCTACATGCTCAGGGCACATGCTACTAGGGTTTGGTTCTCCAGCCCTGAAAAGAACCTGATTTTCATATTTTTTTGGTAGGTCATATTCATAGTCGTTCCTTAAACAGGACCTTCCCTCAGGAGGTTCAATCTGATTCAAATGGTGACCAAGCAAGGTTTAAGGAGGTTCTTTAACCTCGGAGAAAAATATGGAAGAATGGAATTGATTCTTTGATTGAAAGACAACTTTATCGAGTCCCTAATAAAGTTAAACAGTTTAACTTTGGAAATAGATCCTTGCAAGGGACTACAACGACTTGCCTCCAAGAAAAATAAGAGATTCAGAAGTAAAGATGTTATTGCTGCTTTTAGAAATTTTAAGATAGGTTCATACCTAAGTACCTACCTCAAAGTTTGTCAAAATCATAGAATTTTTCATTTTTCTTTTTTTTTTTTTGCACTGGTGAATCATTTTATTTGCTTGCAAAGGTTTATTTCCAAAATTAAACAGTTGAGATTCGCTAAAATTGTCCTTCTTATGATACTAAGTTAAAGATCTCCTTGAACCTCCCTTATTCATGATGCATAGCGTATGGGGCCTCTTAAGAAACGGAGCTGTTGAAGGATTGACTATGCATACGGCATTAAAAGTGCAGGCAATTTGTTTTTGGGTACCCTAATTTTTTCTTCATCCTCTTCATTTTCTCTGTCTTCTGTTTCTAAGTTTTCTTTCTAAGTTGAGAGATCGAAGGAGAATTGCTCCACTGTCTCGCACAAAATTTTCTTTTCTTTTCTTTCATTCGCTTTTTTGTTACCCACTTCTACGTTTCAGTGGTTCTGCTGCCAATTAAATTCAATTGAATGATTACACACCTTACTTTTTTACAACAACATCAGCAAATGTTCACATCTCTGGTAATCCTAACTTTGAATTGATTGGATTGTTTCCCCTGTCCTTTTGACACTAATATTCATCATTAAGAATGTCAGCTTGACTCTTTGGTTTTTTCTAACTAGGGATGCAAATTATTCTCTACCAAGCAGTCACAACCAAATTGTGGAAGTGCCCTAAAAGTGGATTTCACATTTTCAAATTTTGTAAAGTATAATGCGTTTTGGGCACACATCCAAAAAATTATCCAAAATTTTGCTCAGTGCATTGTGTTGACCTTTTTGCAAAAACCCAGCGCGTTGCAGAAAATTGTGGAGGTCTGCTGGCAAATTAAACCTAGAACAATTTGCACCCCTGTCTCTAACTTTGATTCTAACCTTGAAGTGATATACACCAGTTTCCTCTCCTCCCAGAATGGGCTTTACTATTATGTGAAGTCCTCCTCTGTAATATCTTAACTGCCTTTTGAATCAGAAATTTTAACCTCTTAAGATGTGATAGTCACTCTACAGGAATTCAGCTCCTTCAACACCTCAGCGCCAAGCATGAATGCCTTTTAAACCCGCAGATGTTGCCGAATTTACTTCAATAATAAACAACTTTTCAGGGAAATTCATGAATTTTTCTCCGATGCTTTTTCAGAGAATTTTTATTGCAATTCAATTCAAAGTATCTGAAAATTTCGAGGAGGAATATTGATAACTTTTCTCAAAAATTAACATTTTTCAAGATAATTTTGGTAACTTCCGAATTTTGATACAGTGTTTTTCCTTGTCGCTATGTCTATGTAATTACACGCCATTTCTGCATAATTGAGAGCTCTTTTTTGAGTAATGAAATAACGCACACTTTTTGTTAAGTTTAAGCCCCCTTTGCCAATGATAATAGTTTGAATTAGGTTGACATTGTCAGGATACCGAACGGAAATCCAAAAAACATAAATCTGAACCTGAAAATGCTTAATTTTAAAATTTTCCAACAGCGATGCTGCATTTTACCCTTGCATGACAGATTAAGTATCCGCTATGGAGTATGTAGAATTTGGATCCTCTGATAAAAATTACATTCTAAAGAGTACAATGGATAGTGATTGCATCAAATCTTAAATCATCCTCTTTCTTTAAATCATCATTTCGTGACATTATATTTCATATTCAGTCAAGTATGTCTACAAAAGGTCTTATTTACCAACGAAAGTTTATTTTGAAAAAGACTGGTTTTATCTCAGATGAATGTAACAAATGTTCCAATATTTTGCCCCAATTTTGGAAGACTTACAAGCTTTTAAAACATCAGAATAATACAAAACTCTCAAACCTCAATTGAGAGTTTATTGAGTAACTGAAACAAACACTATTCTTTTACTGAGCTGAAATCTTTTCCTTTGTAGGTTTATTGTTCACAACGATAAGAATAACCCACTCATAACGTCTCTGGAGGAACTTGACTCAAATTTGGGTGATTTCGGTCCAGATTTACTTGTTGTAAGCGGCTTGCAGATGATGAATGGATACCCGTTTCCATCAGGTTTGTTTTCCCACACTTATGACAGACCAATGTCAGACAGTTCGTCTCCAAAAATTATCACAAATGAAATAATAGGGTGTCTTTCTCAGACTTGTGGCATTGGAGGAAGGTGAGCCAGGGAAACTAACTGCCTCAACAGGAATTAACATTTGCTCAGTCTCTTTAATGTCCTAAAAATCATTTGGAATCTTGAAGGTATGTAGATAGAAAAATAGCGTCGTCGCAGCTTGCAGTTTACATTAAAAGAATGGGCCGGTTGCAAACTTTAGCTAGAGCAAAAATCAGAGTTGTTTCTATCAGTCAATGTCTCAAAAATCATGATGAGCGCATCGGCAAAGTTTGAAATGCACTCCTAACTTCACAATCTTCGTAAGAAATTTGCATATTTTTGAGCTTCCCACTTCAAAAATGATACTACGGCACAGGTGAACATTTTGTTAGAGGTGTCGTTCTATCTAACCCCTGTGCACTAGGATACTACACAATATTCAACATGGCTGGCACCAATCCGCCAAAACGCATGTGCCTGGATGAGATTTAACCATTTGTTAACAACCTAGTGTGTTTACATTTACGATTTCTTTGCGTTGATACATAAAGATCTGCTTTGGTTGACCTTAGGCTCCCGATTGCGATTTGCGCGCGGAATCTTTGGCTGTTGGGTATTGCTATTGTGAAAGGGTTGAATGGAACGACTCTTCTAACGAAATGTTCACCTGTGCCGTAGTATCGTTTTTGAAGCGGGGAGCTAAAAAAACTGCAAATTCCCTACACAGATTATGAATATAGGAGTACATTTTGAACTTTGCCAATGCGCTCACCGTCATTTTTAAGACATTTACTGATAGCAACAACTCTTATTTTCGCTCTAGCAAAAGTTTGCAACAGGCCCATTGATCATGGTAATGATTTATCTATATCAATATGGAAAGAGAACATGCTATTATATGAGTGTGTTATGGACTCCTATGAGCGGGACTACAACTTTTAGATTCCTTCAAGTCGATTGATTGATATTCCTCTCACGTATTCTTTTAGTTTTTTTAAAAAACAAATTGCCAGTTGATCTTTTTCAATATTTTCTTGAATTGCACAGGGAGCTAGTACTTAAATTTATCCATGTGAATCGACCAACCTCTAACTTATTTTTTTGACAGTTTAATGAATCTGATAAGTATTGTGCTCATGATTAGATTTGATTATCCTGTAGCTCTTGTAATAATCAACTGATTGTTTCCCTATTTTAGGCGTCCGAGAGGAGAGAATTGAGAAGATAAGAGAACAGATGAACAAACAACCATCTTCAACAAGAATTCATTTTGAAATGGCATCCTTTACGGAAATATCACTCTTGGATGAGCTCCTGTCCAATGTCATTCCTTTCTCTAACTCCTTGGGAATGAATGAAATTGTAAGTTACTTCTTCTTCATTTGTTGTAACAAAGGAATTGTTCAACTCTCATCTCCCTATATTTTATTATTATATGTATTTACCTTAAAAGAAGTGTGGTGTACCTGTATAATATTCCAGTTTTTATATATCTGTAAAATATTTCAGATTGATGTATTCTTTATTCTATTTTCCAGGAGCTAGAAAATTTACTGAGCATTTTGAAGTATGGCAACATTAGCTATGTTAGCGATTCAAATCCTAGGGTAGCTACAGTGCTTGATCAAATGCGACAAGTTTACAAGTAAGAGACTCCTTATTTTATGTTTAGTTTTGAGTATCCTTGTTGCAACAAATTTTAGAATCATCAGTGCTTTTTCTGCAGCACCTTTCTGAAGTTGAGATTGAATTGGATGGATCATGGCTGTCAAAACATTATTCAGAAGAATCTTTTTAAAATATTGATAGCAAAAATGCTAAACAACATATCTTCATTGCAGTGTTTCAAAAGTTCCACACTCATTTTATTTTTTCAATGAGAAACAAGCCAACTTTATAGCTCAAAATTTTCACAGAATATTCTACTAACAGAGAAAAAAACATACCTAGAGAACTTTTTCAAGAAATAATGTCAACTAGTTTTCCTGAGCAAAGTAAATCATGATAGGAAGTCTCCAATGTCGCAAATAGAGATATGTGATTTCACACTTTGGCTATCAATATTATTGATAAAATTTCAACTCAAATAAATGCAGCATCTGTTTTTGCCTGTTGCATCATTGAGCCTTCTTGTACTTTAGAAATTGAAAGAGGACCCTCAATCACTTCAAAGGTTCAAGAGTGCACTGATCAAAAAGTCACAGAAAAGCATGTCAATCAATGTGATCCTTAGTTTGTTGTTTTGATTCATTTTTTTACATTATGTGGAAAACTAGTAGATAGATAGCAACCTCCTTTCGTGTTAATTTGCTGCTCCTGGCCATTTTGGTTCATTTCCCCCCAAGTCTATTTGTCTTTATGAATCCAAGTATATTGTTACCAAAAATTGTTTTTTTATCTCAGGCTCATCACTGATAAAAGTAGGAACATCAAGAACAGTCGCATGCTGACTCGCCTTCATGTTCACACGCTAGCATATCAAGTTATCCTCACTACACAGCCTTCAAGATGGAAGCACTCACGCGCGGCAGCAGCAAGGGCCGCTCTTACGGCACACAGATATATCTGCGGAACTTCAGAGGTGAAGATCTTTTTCAATTTCCTAATCTGGTTCTTAAGTTCACCTGCCAAATAGACCACTGCGGGATGACTATTGAAATTGATAAAACAAAGCAATAGATGAAGAAGACAAAGGCAAAATGGAGAGATCCTATTGTTTGAAATGGGTGGTTGTCATATACTAATGGGAGAAATGATAGACTGAAAATGTTCAAGAATAGTATGAATAATATTATTAATATTTTGTGAAAATGTTAAAGAATGATGCCGATTTATTCTACATCCAAAAGTGAAGTAGAAAAGATGAGGAAACACCACAATTGAGCTACGTCTTATGGTCTCCGTCAATTTTCAATTTGATTATCATCTTAATTATTTTTACAGCAAACAAATTTCACTCCTTTTCTGGTCTACCAAAATTTACTTTTGGGATTCAATACTTAAGCAAGGGATTTTCCCCCCTAATGATGTAAGAGGATATCTATGCTGAAACTGCAGAAGCGCGTTTTTCGGGTCAGTGGTGCTGCAGACCTCCTGTCGTGCATACTCTATTTTCTGAATAGAAAACTACTCTTTCAATGTCATTTTCGTAAAACCTCAGCAATTTTCTTCTCCATGTAAAGAATATCCTGTAAAAATTTCCAGCCATGATGTTAGTTAATGCTCATTTAAAGAAATTAAACTCAGTACACCAAAATTAGAAACACCAAATATGAAATATGTTTTTGCAGTTTCAGTGTGGATATGCAGATATCACCGTATTTAACGCTTTTTGCATTGAATTTTCTAGGTGGATGTTGACCGAGCAAAATTAATACTCAATGAAAGTTTCTCAACCTCGAGGATAATTGGTAGTAGACGAGTTTCAATTATCGACGACAGTCCAGTCTCTTGTTGGACAGAATCTCCACAGTTTGAGATCTGCGTGGCTCCTGTTTTAGTCTGCACTTCACCACGGCAAACAGCAGGTGGCGGAGACAACATTTCCGCTGCTGGACTAGCACCTCAACTGTAATTGCTCCTCTGATCTCATTATAGATGAATGTGACATATGGGAAAATTGTCATCCCTTAAGAGACATGTGTTTAAATGAAATTATCTAGGCCACAAAGAACACAGTTATACAAATATCCGCAGATATAATTTCTCCTAGGGATGGTTCTTAAAATACGTAATTCTAAACCGCAAATTTTTCGACTCTCCCTCCTCCTCCCTATCCCTTAAGATTTAAAAACAAAATGGCATAAATCTCTTCTCAACCTTCCTCTCCCCTAAAGCATTATGTATTTAATGAAGGACTCCTAACAATGAATGGACTTCATTATGTGATTGGAAACTACTATTTTTGGTTCATCCATAGAAGAACCTCTTTAAACAGGCAAACTTATGGCATACTGATGTGTTGTTTCTAAAATAAACCAGAAATAATGGCTTCTTATCGCAAAGTGTAGTCTAAATAGTATGTTGAATTTCGACTTGAAATCGAAAACTAGTGGTGCATTATAACTTATTTGGTTTTTAAGTTCAGTTTTGAAACTAGAATATTTGTTATTTGTAAGAATTTATACAAAATTTTGAAGGGCTGCATAGTTTATTCGCCCTGTTTTTCTTTTGCAGCTATTCTATTTGCTGAAAAGTGAATTTTTGAGCATTTTTACATGCACTGAAAAAGTACCCGACTTGAACTCATTGTTAACAATATTGGGTCCTAAATAAACATTAAAATCACTTGAATCAAATAGATTTCTGCTTGATATTAGCAAATTTTTTCTCGATGCATGCATCTTCCTTCCTAGTTATAGAGAAATTTCTCTTTGGCGGAAATTTCAAGATTATTCCTGCCTGAATCAAATAACTTTTTTTCAGTGTAAGTTTAGCAAACAAAATGTAGCAGTGCTCCTGCCCCTTTGTCAGCTATAAGGAGGAGTCTTTTTTCCTCCTTGCAGGTTGATCATTGATATTGATAGACAAAGCGTTAGTCTAAAGAGACAAAGGGAAAATGGACAGAGTCTGTTGGTGGGAGCGGGTGGTTGTTTTAGACTGAAGAGAAAATGATGGTCTAACTACAGGGTCTCTCGTGGGTTGCTTACCTCCTTTATCCATGGCAACTACCAGCTTTGACCAATAGAATCTTTTCATTCTCTCTGGCAATTTGGCAGCGCTGCCACATTTTCATCAGTATCTCATGGAAAAAAGCTCATGACTTTACTTTTCAGCCACCATATTGTGGAGACTGATGCATGGAAATTCATTTTCTTAAAGTTAATTTTATTGGATGTTTTTGGATATGATACCTAAAAACAACAAAATTTAATTGATGGCAAGTCACATGGAATTTCAAGCGGTTTCCTTATTTGTTGGAAGGTCTTTTTGTTTTTATGAATCATTTGTAATTTCTACTAGTTCTCAAGAAGTTTTGAAATTCAGTACGTCCTTTTAACTTCTTAAGGCATTTTGCTCTCTGTACATACTGAATTGTAACTCAGGGTTCAAAGGGTTTTTTACCCATTTTTGTCTTTTAACTATCGGAAAATTTTGCCTTGCCTCAGACCGTAAAATGAATCTCCTTGGACAACTCACTATTTCACTGAGGTTGAACAAAGTGCAAGTCAAAATGTATTATTACTTGTCAGCAGAATCGTAGTAAATTCCAACAAGTTGACTGTTTTTTGCGATCTGACATTTTTGCCTCCAGGTTATACTTTTTATTTACCTCATGGCCAATTGTCTAATTTCATGGCAAAATGCCCAATTCTACAACAAGTGCGATTTGTCCAATTTTTACGAAGTGCTGAGCACATAAGAACAGAAAGTTATCACTTTTAAAGACTGTATCACATTTGCTGCAATTTATTTTCATGGTTAAAAAGTTGTTGATCCCAAGTTTCAATCGCATTAATAGGAAACCCAGTTGTGACAAAAATATTTAGGTAATAATGGATCAACATTTGTGCAAGGTACTTGAGGTATGGTTATTTATTGAGTATATTGTCAGTATTTTGTAAACATTTGGTCAGTATTACTATGAAAGGTTTTGCCTTAATGTTGATTATAGTATAGATTCAATATTTACGAGTTTCTTTTATATTTCACACCGTATGATTTATTCATAATTATCTTCTAAGTTATTGTTATATAAATACTGATTTCAATATTTTTTTTAAATATTTGAGCTTTTTTATGAACTTTTTATCAGAATATATTATTCCTGAAAAAATATTTATAGGTACTTATGCTGTTCTCATGAATAGTATTCTTCAAATGGTTTTCGTATGCAACATCATTGGCTATGGGCTAAATACTCTTGTCTTAACATGGGAATAAGAACTTGTGTTTTTTAGGTACATAGCTTGCCTTTTTTTAAAGTGGTATTTTGGCTAAGGGAAAAATTAGTTTTAAAGGGAAGTGAATTCCTCGGGCTTTAAAGATAAGTTCACTTGCTTTGAATCTCAGATAATCTCATGCTTTTAAACTTTATCTTGTGTTAGAATTTTGTAATTAATAGAATAGAACAAATAGAAAAATTCAGTATGTTGTTACAGGAAAAAAAAGTTTCAGCAAAATGACGTATCGATGGCCAAAGTGCAAAACCACACATTTCCATCACAATGTTTCAAAATTTCCGCTCCCACTTTTTTCGAAGAAGAACAAGTCAATTTCATAGCTTAAAATTTTTACAGGATACTGTACTAAAAGAGAAGGATAATCAAGGAAGTATTTAAAAAATTCCCATTGACTAGTTTTTCAATGGAAAAATAAAGTGTAACATGATGTCTGCAATATCACAAACAGATATACACAGTTTCGCACTATGGCCATTGATATGTGGAAATGTCTATTTGTCATTTCATTTTTTATTTCATTTTGTATGTTACCTGCGCCTAATTTTAAGGAGATCCATTCTGTCCGCAGAATCCTATTCTTTCTTGACAAACAGGACACTCTTTTATATTTTTTCAACTTGTTTTGAACACATCTCAAAGATACATCTGCCTTGTTCATTTCATGCAAAAATCTGTAATTGACATTTGGCTTTTTAGCCTTGGTCAACATGATTTAGAATTTATAACTTCTTAATTTTATGTGGTGGTATAATCCTGTGCTCAGGCAGTATTGTTTAACTCCTTTTTTCTTTCGCTGGGTGTTAACTGCAAAAAAAAAAACATGTGGATGAATTATGGAGAAATTTTAATTTGTTTTCAAACGGACCATCCTCTCTCTTTTTTCTGACATCCTGTTTATAACAGAGGAGTCCGATGGCTGTAATGTTATTCCTATTTTTTATTTGTTTGTTTCCTAGCATAGGGTACTCATCTGTTTGAGGAGATTTGAGAAGCATTATACCTCCACATCATATTGCTTTGGCAGGTACATGCTCTCTCAAATCTCTGCTGCTCAGTGTTTTCGCAATGTGTGTAGCTCAATGATGGTACCAGGAACCATTAGCCAAACATTTATGGCTTTATTTTGATTTAACGTTTTGTTTTCTTTAGTGTTGTTATTTTGTAGAAGGGCATACGGAAAATGTAAGGTTTTGTTCTCCTTTTCATTTTATTAATTTTTTTCCCCCTGTTTCTTTGTTTATCTTTACATCTAGTCAAGTTTTAAAAATAAATAAGAAATCAAAACCTAATATCATTCTCTTAGTGTAATTTATGTGTTTCTTTGAAACCTTTGTCCCTTATGAAGTGAAAAATGTGTGTACCATTACTAAATAATGAAATCAGATGTAAACACTTGGTTCCGCTCAGGCCCGGACTTAGGGCGTGCGGCGCTTATGGGCACCAGCCTTTGGGAGGCGCCATGAAAGAAGAAGAGAGGGGAAAAAAGGGGGGAAAAGGAAAAGGAAAAAAGGGAAGAAAGGACAAGGGGAAAAAAGGAAAAGGAAACAAGGTTTGGCAGTGAAAGCAAGGAAGAAGGGTGGAAATGGAAGGAAAAAGGAGGCAAGAAAAGTGAAAAGAGAGTCCGCGAGAAAGGGGGGGGGGCATAAACCATAGACAAAATATAAAGAGAATTGCCGTCTAAAGGTAAATTTTCAGGACAAAAACTCCACCTGGTCCATAGATGGTCAGGCGCCCCTTGACTCTAAAGCCGCTGTACAGAAATACAAGAGTAGGCATGTAGTAAGGGGGCGCCATAAATCCATCGAACAGGAGCCGACATAGCATTTTAGGCCACGTCCGCCATCTTGGATTTGAGAATTTTTAAACATAGTAAAAATTCGAGTTTCCGGTCGAAAAATATCCTCAGACACCGAGTTTCAAAAAAATCCATCGAACAGGAGCCGACATAGCATTTTAGGCCACGTCCGCCATCTTGGATTTGAGAATTTTCAAAAATCGACTAAAAATTCGAGTTTCCCGTCGAAAAGTACCCCTGATCCCACGGTTTACAATGCTCTAACGAACAGAAACGGAGGCCAGAACCGGGGCTCATTTTAGGCCACATCCAACATTTTGGAGTTGAGAATTTTAAAAAATTGACTAAAAATTCGAGTTTTCCGTTGAAAAATACCGTGTGATATCGCGTTTCACAAGACTCGAACAAACAGAAACCGAGATAGCATTTTAGCCCACGTCCGCCATCTTGAATTTGAGAATTTTAAAAAATCGCCTAAAAATTCGAGTTTCCCGTCGAAAAATACCTACCTCCTGACACCGAATTTCAGAAAAATCCATCGAACAGGGGCCGAGATAGCATTTTAAGCCATTTCGGATTTTCGAATTTTGAATTTTTTGAATTTTGACAGATTTTGATTTAAAACGCGTGATCCCCAAAATCGAAGCTCAGATTCGGATTCCTCGTAAAAAATCGATGCGATTTCATGTATCATATCCTGACACCGAATTTCAGGAGAATCCATCGAACAGGAGCCGAGATGGCATTTTAAGCCACTTCAGTCATTTCGGAGTTTTGAAGTTGAACAATTTTTATTAAAACGCGTGATACCCAAAATCGAAGTATCAGATTCGGATTCCTCGTAAAAAATCGATGCGATTTCATGTATCATACCCTGACACCGAATTTCAGGAAAATCCATCGAACAGGAGCCGAGATGGCATTTGAAGCCACGTCAGTCATTTCAGATTTTCGAATTTGGAAAATTTGACTTAAAACGCGTGATACCCAAAATCGAAGTTCAGATTCGGATTCCTCGTTAAAAATTGATACTAGTTCATGTATCATACCCGAGCATAGCGTAAAGGAAAGAGACGTAACGTAGTCATACTGTTTCAAGCATTTGAATCCAACGTGGCAACATGGGTAGTGCTCAGTGGGTCAGCGGAGGAGGAAGAATAAGAATTTATCGCGAGGAATTCCTCGGGACGAAACCGAACGCTTATTGTTAGCGCCGGCGCCTCCCCGTTCGGTTGTATCTCGGGCGACCGGCGCGGCGCGGCGGCGCGGCGTACCTATAGTTCAAAGACAGAATCTATACGCGTCGTTAAACCTTTTCCCTTCACGCTATTTTAGCATATGATACATGAAATCTCATCAATTTTTCACGAGAAATCCGAATCTGAGCTTAGATTTTGGATATTACGCGTTGTAATCTAGTTAAAATCGTAAGGGAATTTACAGAATTGTCCTTGAAAATTGATCACACATTAGTGTTTTTTTACGTCATTAAACCTCTTTCCTTCACGCTATTCTAACATATGATGCACATAATCTCATCAATTTTTCACGAGGAATCCGAATCATAGCTTACATTTTGGATATTACGCGTTTTAATCCAGTTAAAATCGTAAGAGAATTCACAGAATAGTCCTTGAAAATTGATCACACATTAGTGGTTTTTTACCCTGTTTTTCTTCTACGTTCAAGTACTGAAATTAGATCAACAGTTGACTCATCGACTAGTCTAGCCTAACCCCCCAGAATCGGTCTAAAGGGCGAACGATTTTATCAGATAAGATGTGCGGTCCTAGTTTCCGGGCAATTGCGGTTTGATGGAAGCTGCGATGAGGAGTAACGGAAGATACGCGAAACTCTGGCGGATATTAAGTGAGAAACCAGGTAGGGGAAAGAAAGGCTTTTCTTCCCGAAAATTTAGTGCTCGGGCCAACTTACATGGTCACTGGAGCATTGTATTGCAGGTTGTGGGAAAGGTTGTGGGAAACTATTTTTTTGCAGCAACAACCAATTGGATCGCATTTTGCGAAAAGGAACTAAGAGCATTTCAATGTTGCTGGGATTGTGCAACTTAGGTACATTCTTAGCAAAAAGTAAACTTTACGACGGTAATTTTAGTCTTGAATTCATAGTTTATTGGGAGTAGAGGTGAAACTAGTTTAGATGATCGTTTATGTTTGCAAGGTTAGCGACATTGGAATGC